ACCCCCCCTGCTGGCACGGCCGTCAATGGCCGTGACGTCATCAAGAGGCGCCCCAGCGCCCCGTGATGTCATCATCAGGCGCCCGGGCCAGCGGCGCCCTAGGCAGCTGCCTAGCTCGCCTAGGCTCACGGGCCGCCGGTGAGTGTAGACACACTCTCTACGTCCTCCCTTCACGCTCTCTCATCAAGAAAGGGACTATAGAGTTCCTCCCCTCTCACCCAACAGCCTCCATCTCATCTGGGCTTCCTCCCTGTATGCTCCCCACACAATTCCTTCCCCAGCTGGGCTTGATACAAAGAAGGAGGAGGGGCAGCCAAGTAAATGAATTGTTCTGTCTCCAGTTAACTCTTTTATTCCTACAGCTTGCCCCGTATAAACTGGGACTTTCTGGTTCGGCAACATCTGTGATACAGCATGAGCCGAGAGTCCCAGCACAATGCAGCGGGGGAGGACGAGAGCCCAGGCGCAGCTCAGCTGGGCTGAGGATGTGGGGGTGGGCGGGAGCCTGGCGTGGTGGGCATGGAGTGCGGGGAGGGAGAGCCGGGAACCAGGAAGCCTCGTGTATAGCTCTGTTGGGCTGCCGGGTGGAGGAGCAGGATCCTTCCACTGCACGGTAAGAAACAAACGATTTTTTGCCATAAAGTCTGTGGGTTAGTGTACTATGGTAGGAGAGTTGGCTCAGGGCTGGTGCGCCCCCTTATGGCTGGATGTGGGGATACCAGACTCTCCTCCCTCTCAACAGTGGCTCCAGATCTTGCATGACCAGGCTCAGCCTTCCAGTCAAGTCATCTTCGGCCTCGGCCTTTCCAGACTCAGATAAACAGAACTCTTTGCTGCTAACCAGGTTCACTCATCTGTGGACTCTTCACCCCTTCCCAGGCTCTGCAGGGATGTCCTTCTATTCTTCTGCAGGGGTGCCTCCCTGGGCTTTCTCCCTGGAGGTCTAGCTCTAAACGCAATGGTTCTTCTTCCCCTTGTGTCAGGGAGTTTCCACACCAGCTGATCAAATGGACCAGAAGAGACCCTAGATCCTTCCTCTCCTTTGGGTTTCAGTCTAGGCAGGGACTTTGCGGTGAGCAGCTAAGTTTTGCTGTCTCCATGAATTTCATCCTACCTTGGTCTTTTTTCAGGCCCTTCCAAGCTTGCTGTGCCTCTGTCTCTCTGGGTGCGTCTGCACAGCAGCGTTATTTCGGAATAGCAGCCGTTACTCCCAAATAACAATGCAAGCGTCCACACAGCAATCCAGCACTCCGGTCATCTGAAGAAGTGGGCAGTGCCCACGAAAGCCCATGATACGTGTTTTATTAATCTTTAAAGTGCTACCAGACTATTTGTTGTTTTTTCAAACGTTTTTCAAAATTACAGATGCCTTATTCCGACTTCTGTAAACCTCATTCCACAAGGAATAACGCCTCTTCCGACACTGCTATTTCGGAATAGCTGTAGTGCGGACGCTCCACCGCTGCTATTTCGAAATAGCTCCTCCCCAGGGCCATTCAAAATCATTACTCCCTGGTGCTTCCTGGGGCTCTAAATCGAGGTAGCGTGTCCACACTAGGGCTATGTCTACACTGGTGGGTTCTTGTGCAAGAACTCTTGCGCAGGAACACATCCACACAGGCATGTGCTTTTGTGCAAGAGCATGCATGGCAGTGTGGACGCTCTCTTGCTCAAGAAAGCTCTGATGGCCATTTTAGCCATAGGGCTTTCTTGCGCAAGTAG